ATCACTTGTAAATACAGTTCCGAGGTACTTGAACTTCTTCACCGGCTCCACTGCCTCTCCGTTAATCTGAAGAGAGAAACGGGCAGGAAAACGAGAAAGCACTAGGCCTTTCGTTTTTGATGCGTTCGTACTAGGCTGCGAACCTTTCGAGGGGGCACTGTAGAGGTCGTCTGAAAGGTCATCTGCAAACAGTAACATCCTCGTCCTCACATCTCCAACACCGATACACTCAACACCTTGGCTGCTCCTGACTATTCTGTCCATATACAGTACAAACAGGAGATGAGACAGGAGGCGGCCTTGGCAGAGACCAGTTCCAACGTTTCGGCTTAATACCATTTGCTCTGACGCAGCACCTGCTATCAGAATACAGTGATTGGATAACCCGTAACAGCTGGCCATCTATCCCGTATGCTCGCTGGCCTGACCGCAGACTGTTGCGTGGGATCCAGTCATGGGCTTTCTGTAGGTTTTCAAAACAGCAAGAAATCGGTTGAGTGAACTCCCACGATTTCTCAACAATCTGGCATGGAGCGAATATCTTGTCAGATATGATTCGGCCGGGCCGGAAGTAACACCTACACTTCTTGGATCATGGAGTCAGTTATTCCGCGTCACCTCCTTTCTAGCACCTTTATCTGGGAGCCTCAGTGCAGTAATGCCTCTATAATTGGAGTAGTGGTTTCCATTCTCGAACAAGGGTAATGCAATTTCCGTTCTTCAGTCCGCTGTCAATTTCCACAACACTTCACCTAACTTATGACTGGAACCAGCTTTGGCATTCGTTACTGCTTTTGCTGCTGCCTTGCGTGCTTCTGTCACTACTATGATCTGTTTGCCTCGAAACTACGGCTTAAATGTAGCCTTCTTCTCGGTGATTATCAGTTGCACCTCTCTTGTCCAGCATGAAGTTAGTTTCTGACCTCCAGGCGGTACTCCAACCCTTTTTAAAGAGTAGCATTGGGTGGCAGCGTCCACAAGCCACTCCAACACGTCAGCGGCAATGTCGGAAATCTTCTTAATCGGTCGTGCGATCTTGTTTGCAAGTTTTGCCGTCGTATCCGCAAAGGCTAATGTGTTTCCCTTTAGATCCTCTGATCGTTTCCGCCAT